TTTTGATAGCCCAGCACACCTGAAAGAGAGCTACTGAAAGTCCTACAGTTTTACCTGGGGAAAATGAAGCAATTTGCTCAAGGTCACAGGACCACAAGAAGTGAAGTTATTTCGATTTGGTTTGAGTTACTCTTTCCCTAATACAGTGTTCTCCTAATATTGCTATTTGAATCTCATGTTGCCTTTTAGTTAATCATTACACCAATGAATGTTTGTTGGTATCAAGGCTATTACATCAAAAGGATAGTCATATTTTAAAAATTCTAATTAGGTCATTGTCTACTAACTTTCCCCCTTAGAACAGCGAGAAATCGTATGTGGTTGCTTAAATACTAAAGCCCTGTGGAACCAAAGAGTACCCAAAGCTCAGATTAACACTGGCAATTGTAATTATATACATTTCTCGTGAAAAGACTTGATGGTTGGTTTGAATTACCAGTGTGTGGCTTTGGGAAAATTGCTTAATATCTTTAGGCTCTGGTTTCCTTAAGCATAAAGTGGGAATAATACTATCTACTTCTCTGGATGGTCGCCAAGATTAAAGCAGACAATACCTTTATTAAAGTCCCCAGCACAGTGCCTGACACGTAAGAGACACTCAGTAAATGCTAGTTTCTCCTTGACTAATTTCTTTTATTGGCTTTGTGGGCAAATCATGTGAACGGACTCTACAGATCAATCACTTCCAAGTGCTTTCTAAAAATAATGGTGGAGAACCTCAGAGTTCACTGTCATTACTGTTGGTTGGAGCCCGTTGGTTTTCTCCCAAGAACACAAGTGTTGAATTTTACTGGCGAGTATTAGTATTTAGTATAGGCAACAATTTGCTCTGAATTGAACTGTTTTCAAGAACACACTTGATGAGTCAATCAAATCAAGCAGAAGTTTTCTGTCTGTGATTCAAGAATGCTCTTTATCCTTTCAGCACTGAAATTGCATTACCTGTCATTAAAGGAGGAAGTGTGCTCGGTTAAGCTTGAAAGCAATGTTACCAGAAAAAGGATTAACAAATCATAAGACAGAATCCTTAGAAGTAAGGTCACTACCAGACTGTGGCTAAGGCACCAGCAAGGAATATGTTTCATATGTGCTGCCCCATTAGTTTCTGGAATCTTAATATGTAACCTGCATTACTGAGTCAGACCCAGAGGAGGGAAAGAAACAGAGCATCGTGTCTTTGCTCTGTAGACCACACGGCACTACTTCTTGTTTTGGGGAATCAGTCTTGTTATCAATTTTTTTTTTTTGGTAGGGGTAGGTAATTAGGCTTACTTATTTATTTATTCTCAGAGGAAGTACTGGGGATTGAACGCAGGACCGCATGCATGCTAAGCATGAGCTATACCCTCCCTCTGGAAATCAGACTTTATTTTATTAAAGTAACATATGCATACAGAATTTAAAAGTCAAATGTTATTAAGGGGATTAGAACAAATCACAGGAGGCATTTCTTACCTCTTTTCTTCCCCTTGTTCTCTTCCCCAGTCGCTTTCAACAGTTTTGGCTTTTTATTCCTGCTATGTGCACATCTCTATATTTCTAAATAATATGTGTATTATGCTCTCTCTTGATTTATCAATATTTGACCCCTATTAACTTCCTATTATGGTAATTGAGGACTTTGTTGTCTAATACCACCCTGCCTTCTGCCTCTCCTCTGCCATATCCCTATAGGGTCATCTTATAGCCTTTGTTTAACTGCCTCTTCCCTGTTGGTATCAGTGTGCCCATGTAAATATTGTGCAGGCTAAGCATTATAGCATACCGAGCATTATATTTCCTTTCCTCTTTTTTGTCTTTTCCTAAAGTTAATAATAGTGTCTCCCCACCCACCCCCACCCCCTCCAACCCTACCAATCTGGTTTTGTTTTTTTTTCTGGTCCTATTTCTAATTCTTTCTACACCTTTCAATGGCATCTTGGTACACTTTTCTACAAGTGCGATTATATCAATATGTATGTGTTCCATTTGGTTTTCCCTAAAAATATCACTACTGGACACCTCCTCTTCCTTCTATATGGACTGACCTCTCTCTGGCTGGCTGCACAGCCCCCTCCTGGGGATACCTTGAGTTGGAGTCCCCATTTCCTGGCTTTCCAGTCTCCTTTCTTGGTGGACTCTCTGGTTTTGATGGAACACATCTTTAGATGGTGCAGGAGCAGAAGGTGTGGTGGTGGCCATCCTCAGTGTGGCTGTCTCTTTAGTCACAGTCTGGACTGTATATCATCCATGCTGAGCACACAGCTATCCTCCTGGGATCTCTTTTTTTACCCTTATTCTGAACAGTCCCTTTGTGCCAAAGGTACGTAGTGCACCTTGACCTAAACATCACACCATGTACTATAATTAATTCAGAATGGATCATGGATTTTAAACGTAAAACTATAAAACTTTTAGAGTAAAATACAGAATGTCTTCAGGACCTAGGGCTAGGTGAAGAGTTCTTAGACATGGCTAAAAAGCACAATCCAAAAAACAAACTTACTAAGTTAGACTTCATCAAAACTGAAAAAATACTTTGGCTCCACAAAAACTTTGTTAAGAGGATACAAATACAAGCCAGAGACTAGGAGAAAATATTTGCAAACCACATATACTAAAATATATAAAGGACTCTCAAGATTTAATACAAAAATATCCAGTTATGAAATGGGTAAAAGACATAAACAGATGTTTCATTAAATTGGAAATACAGATGACAAATAACTACATGAAAGGATGTTCAGCATCATTAACCATTAGTGAAATGCAAATTAGAAGCACAATGAAATATCAATATGTACTTACCACAATGACTAAAATAGAAAATGATGACACCAAATGCTGGCATGGATGTGGAGAAACTGAATCACTTACACATTGCGGGTGGGAATGTGAAATGCTCCAGCTGCTCTGGAAAACAGTTTGGTAGTTTCTTTTAAAAAAAGTAAACATGCAAATATAACCCATCAATTGCACCCTTTCCAAACTGGAAACAATCCAAGTGTCCTTCAGTGGGTGAGCAGCAAAACAGTGGTAAATCCATACCATGGAATACTTCTCAGCAATAGAAAAGGATGGCTTACTGAATCATAGGAATCATTTGGATTTGCTGACAGATAGCATTTGAAGGTGGAGTAGATGTGATTGCCTACAGAGAATGCAGGGTGAGAGGCAGCCTTGGTGAGCATTCCATGGGACTTGGGCAGTTCTAGATGGAGAATGGGCAGAGGAGCCTGAGAAGACTGGGGAGAGGGTGGTGTCACAGCAGCCAAGAGAGAGGAATCTGAGAAGAAGGGAGTGGTCAACTGTGCCAGCAAATGAGAAGCCAAGGAAGCAGAGACCCGAAGGCGCAGTGAGGGGATGGGGCTCCAGGGAGAGCACTCTGTGGGGAGCACGGACACCCAGGCTGGGCCTGGTGGTGTGACAGCGTCTCCACACCTGCTCCCACGTCATCTGGCCTCAGCGAGAACCGATGAGGTTGCTGGGTTGGGCAGGCAAGCAAGCGTTAGTTTTCAAGTTTCAAAGGGGAGAAACCTGAGGCTCAGAAATGCTGGAAGCCTTGATCTGTGACCGAGCCAGGTCTTGTGGCTCTAAAGTCAGCGCTCTTGTTGGGCTCGCATGCTGCCTTTCCGCCACATCACAGCACAGGGCAGGTGGGGCTTGGCTGCAAAAACTGCTAAAATCCTCATAACACTCTAATGTGGTAGGCAGCAATAAGTAACGATAACTTATAACTGTGAAGAAAGGATATTAATGGTCTAAGAATTGTCATAAAAGTTTCCCATCACTGTTGAGTTTTTAGACAAACATTTGTCTTACTCTGTGCCCCAAATACTCTACTGAGTGCTGTACATAGATTATCTTAAGCCCACAATTACTTCATGGAATAGGTACCAATACTAGTCCATTATAATGACAAGGAAACTGAGGCTTAAGAAGTAAAGTAACTTTCCCTAAGTTATACTATCAGAAAGTGATAAGAGCCAGGATTTAAACAGAAGGGTTGCAGCCCACAATTGAAGTTGTGTCTTGGGCAAATGAACTAGAGACTTAGATCTTCAGATTTTGGAAACTGAAATATTTTGAGGCTTAATCATTCCTTCTGGATAGAAGGAGAAAGAATATGGTGAAGATTAGGTGGGTTAAGGATAACTAGTTCCAAGAAAGCTTCAATAACAGATGGGTTCGGATATTGGGCAGAACTCCAAATGGTGGTCAAGAGTCAATATGCATTTTCAGATTCTTCTGCTTCTAGAATCTCCCCCCCCCCTCCATCACACCAAAATACAGGATGTTTGAGTATTTGTAGAAGGATTATGCTATTAGTTTAGAAAAGGTTTGGGCACCTACTCTATGCTAGACACAGCGTCAAATAGGGTCTGGGGTAGAGGGGTGAGCAAAGTGGACCAGATTCCTGCCCTCAGGAAGCTTGCAGTTTAGATGGTATTCTATTAGAGGCAGAGTTGGTTCTATGGTTATGGGGGTGAGAGGACTTTAGGGACCTTGGTCTACAGGTGTGGAAAGTCATATTCAGCCTCTGACAGTTTGAACAGTCTCCCCATTGCTACAAATCCATTTCCCCTTCTTTGTTAATAAATCTTGAATTTCTTCAGATACCCAAACTCCTTGAAGAGGGTGGATTTATCCCCAGTTTAGGTGAAACCCTGATTGTTCCAGACCAGCTTCTCAAATTTATCCTGCATTAGAATCACCTGGAAGTCTTGTTAGAAATGGATTGCAAGGCCCCAGCCCCAGATTCAATGAATCAGACCTGAGAAGTTGCATTTTTAACAAGTCCCAGGTCATGATGTTGCTGGCTAAGGGACCATATTTTGTGCCACCTGGATCTAAACTAATCATGGTAATCTCATTCCCCTGGCTAATGACTGGTTTAGCCATAAGCGTGCTATGCATTCTGGCCAAGGAGTTGTGAGGGGATGTATGTTGGGGGAAAGATGTCCTGGCTGTTAAATGAGACTCACAGGAAGAGAAAGACACTGTCCTGCTTCTCCTTGCAGCCACCTTCCTATATGATGTTTGTCAAAACCAGAGGGAAAAGCCAATAAACTGAGCATGATGGAGCAGAAAGAAAGACAGCACTAATCTTGGAGATGGTGAGATGTCCTTGTTGAGATGTCCTTAATGTTTAAGCCGTTTGCATTATAGTTTTATGTTATGTGCAATACACACTTTCCTGACTGATGAATCCAGTGTTTTTATAAGTTAATGATCATTTCCTTATTATCTGAAGTCAGTAATCCATGCTCAAGCAACAGTCCATATGGGCTGCTGGCAGTATATTGTCCTTGCCATGGATTTGGGACTTGGGACCTTGGGACTGTTCCTGACTGTTCCAAGGTGACCGCCTTGACCATTCCAAGAGCCATGAACCCATTGGCCCATAAAACCTCATGGGTTTTTAGCATGTGACCCCCTGGAAAAGAATCCCAATTCCCCCACTCCTCCTGCCCCCAAATATACACTTATTCCTAATGATCTAATTTTGCCTGTTCCTCAGATTTTTATTCTTACCCATGTACCTATTATTGGTCCTCTTTATTTCAGCTATCTGTACAGTCTGAGCGGGTCACATCTACCAGCTCATCCCTCTCTCGAGCTCCAAAACCATGTGTCCAACCATCTACAAGATATTTTTACGTGGTTAAACCATTAGCACCACAATGCATCCTGCAGACTGCATCCACGATTTCTCCCTGCTGAACCTGCTTTCCTTCCTACATTTTAGTATCTTCCTAAATATTCATTTAATTGTAAAAAACTGGAAGTGGGGGTGTCATTCATGACTCCTTCCTTTCAATTCTGGCATCAAATCAGGAAGTGCTGACAACGCCCTAAACCTCTCTCTTATCATGGCTTTTCTCCATCCCTCCAGTTGGAAGCCAAGTTCAGGTAATATCTTCCTGATTAGCTTCTGTGTCTCTGATCTTACATCCTCTGGACTATCCTCCACGTGTCACCAGACAGCTCTTTCTAAGCTTGACTTCTACTTGGCACACAAGGTTCCTTATTCCCTGGCACAACTCTGCTTGTTTAATCTCATGCTCCCTCCTCTTCCTTCACGTTTCATGTTCTGGTTAAAGCCAATTCTACAGAGCTCTCTGAACTTCCTTGCTTTTGTGTGTCTGCAGTTGGCACCTATGTACTCTGCCTGGGGAGGCCAGGGCAAGTCTGAGCAGAGAGTAAACCTTGAATTGAGACTTGCAGGATGGTGGGCATGGCTGGCATGTGGCATCCACGTTCCTGATCCCAGGAGTTGGTACTTCGGTGGGAGACCCATGTACACACAATCGCAGGACTAGTGTGGGATTAGAAGTTAAGTACAAACTGCAGTGGAAGGCAGTGAAGGAGGTCCTTGAGTATGATAGTATCTGTTCAACTCAGGAAAAAAAAAGTGACCTTGGCTCATTTGCATTTACAAAGCATCTAACTAAACAAACCCCTCCAGAGCACAGGGTCTAACACAGTGCCTTGCATGTAGCAAAATACCTTGAAATGGAACAAAGAGATGGATTAGGACTTTGTGAAACAAACCTGAAGACAAGGGAAAGGATCTTTCCAAACCACATTCATGAGCCCCCCTATATTTGATTACATTAAAGTGGACCTCACTTGCCCTCTCCTGCTCTCATCTCCCCCACTGCGTACCCCAGAGAACCCCGAATCTAGCCTCTCCTGTATTTCTGCTCTGTGTCTTAGGCACTCCCATTCAATCCCATGGTTCCAGTTGTTATCTCTCATGTCCCTTCCAAATCCTTACCTCCAACTTGGTTCTGTTAATGCAGTTGAGCATGAAATATCTCAGCCTGGACATTTCACAGCTGTCTCTGTTTCATCACGTCCAACACGGAACTCATCATCTCTCTTACTTTCTCCACCCCTCCTCAAGAACTGCTGGCTCTTTCTGGGTCCATTTCGGAAAATATTATCAGGTTGTTAAATTAAGCAATGTGAGAGTCATCTTTGATTCTTTAGTCCAATCTGTAATCAATTTTCTTAACTCTACCTCCTAAATATAACTCAGTCCTGTCTGTTTATCTCTGCCTTGCTACCACGTGATCCAGGCTTCATCACTTTAGTCTTATAATGACAACGACACACATCTATGTGACCCCCAGCGTCGACTCTCACCACCCCTACCTGCGCACATATTCTCAGATGGAGCCACACTCAAGTAAGTTATCTTTTAAAAAAGTAAACTAGATTGTGTCATTTGTTTCTTAAAACCCATTAATGCTAAACGCAATGTGGTGTCCTCGATTGTATCCTGGAACAGAAAAAGGACCTTAGTGGAAAGCTCATAAAATCTGAAAAAAGCCTGGCGTTTACTTAATAGTAATATACTCACGTTGGTTTTGTATTTTAATAAAAGCACTGTGGTTATATAAGATGTTAATACTAGAAGAAAGTGGGTGAGGAGTACACAAGAACTCTCTGTAGTATCTTTGGAACTTTTCTGTATATATAAAACTACTCCAAAATTTAGTTTATTTAAAAAAAATTAGTAGCACCAGACCTCCTTAACATGACCAGCTTTCTCTCTGCAGCCAAACTAAACTTATTATTTAATTCTTCTAGTGAGATAAACCCTTTCCTTGCCAGTATTCACAGTGTCTGGCCCATTAATAAGTGCTTGATAAATATTTGTTGAAAATTAATGAATATTACATAAAAAAAATCAAAAGACTGACTATACATTTAGGGATTGATAGATCTTGGGAATTTGTAAGCTACCTGAGTTTTCAGCTGGAGGCAGGACAGCCCAGGCAATATGCCTGTGTGGTCTTTACTTTCCTCAGTTTCTCATATCTCCCCTCCCTCGTCCCTTCCAGGCTGCTGCCCTTGAAATTCTGCACCAGCCACAGGTGCTTGGAACCCAGGTGCCCATTTATGTTAATGGGAGAAAGAAAAGGGTCTTTCCCCACTTACACTGCCCCTATCCCACCTCCCACAACCCACTTGTGGATCATTTAATGGTGGGTTCTGGAAACAACGCTGCCTCTTTTCAGGTCTAACTGCTAGAGTTATTCCAATGGCAGGAATTTCAAGCCAGGTAAGAGGAGCCATGTCAGGCTGCCAGATGGTGGGGAAGATAGCATGGGTGAGCAGGCCTCAGACTAAAGCACAGAGGAGGGGATCAGGTGTTGTAATCACATTCGAGAAAAGGAGTCAAGTGACCCTCATTACACATTATAGAGCTGTGTTGCAATAATACGCCTTATTATTACTTGGATTTAAATTGGGACAAATCCTTTTCTCTCATGCGTCTTCCTTTCCACCCCGTGCTATATCCTTTCCTCTCTTAAGTCCTCATTCTTAAAATAATGATGATGATAAGAAGTAACTATTGCTAGTTACTTTAGATCATCATTTCATCTAAGGTGCCCCAATCAGAATCTCTCTCCTAGTTTTTCAGATGAGCAAACTCATTCCCAAGGCAGCCGGTAACAGGCAGATTTGCTATTCAAACGTGAGTCTTCCTGGCTCCAAAACTCTTGTCTTGCCCTCCTGCACGTGGCCTAGGGTGATCTGTTCTAAACACCACGCCTCTCAGTGAAGGACACAAACGCGATGGGTCTTGTAGAAAGGGAAAGTGGAGCACTGGAAGTTTAATCGCAGGCAGGCTCCCCAGGAGGAGGGCTAGGAGGCGGGGACTCTGTGACATGCTTCTGTCTTCTCATCGTGTTTTGGTGATGGCAGGAACTTTGTTGCCCAAACTCCATCTGGGAGCAATGTTTTGAATATTCTGCCCCAACCCCATCCACTCCCCAACACCAATTTCTTTTGCGTCTTCCAAAATGATAGACAGAAGAATTTAATACATTTAATGCTTTTCCTTCCATTTACACTATCATAAATTACAAAGTATTGTTCACTTCACAAAATAAAACCATTTCAGATAATTTTTTGACAGTATCAAGAAGTACATAAGCTACAACAAACAAATCTGTACAGTTGGGAGGAACGATAATAGAAGGAACCAAGCAGAACCGTTCTGACCCCCGTGTGCCGATGGAGTCCATCCCCGTAGCCCTTGGGATTTTCCAGGATGTCGGCTGCACCGCCCTCCCCGCCTTCAGCTCACTTATCACACAGTAATGCTCTTCTGGTCACTCCAAAACAAGACTGGTGAGTAATTACATGAATCATCTTAGACAATCAAAGGAAAAGACACTGTAGTTGGATTTAAGAAAAAAAAAGAACAACCTTAGATTTACAGTTTTTGATGTTTTAAATATTTTGCCTATGTTACAAAATATAGGAATCTTGGTGTGAAAAGCTCATGCTGAGATAAATATAACCAATGAGAACTATTGTAATCAAATCATATTGAATTATTATCCATCAGAGCAAATATTTTTTTTATCAAGGAGGAACAAATATTTGTAAAAACCAAACTTATTCATTCTGACTTCAAAAAATAGGCTTGTTTACAAAACAAAAATGAAAAAAAATCAACAATTCTGCAGATTCACTTTTCATAAATACAGAAATGTGGCAAAAGTACAACTTGCCATTAACAGATGAATTCAGAGTGCTTGTCTGAAAAGAAAAGAGGAAAAGTGCTAACTTTTTACGCGGCCCAGACATAACCAGTGTTCCCAAATCAGTTTACGTCAAATGACCACATTCTACATGTTCTGGGATGTACACACAGGATCTGGAAAGACTATGACCAATTCCAAAACGTACTTTGGGATTTCACATAGTTTGTATGGAAAGAAAATTGGTGATGTTTCAGACCATCTTACAATTGCTATAAACATACACCATACGGTAGCAAAATGCCAGTGCTCAACCGCAGAAACTATCAAAAGCAGGGCCACAAATGGGAGGTGAAATTTCATTGCAAAGCACTGATAAGGACAGAGGTATGTCAAGATAATACTGCATTCATGGTAAACTTTTTCAGGGATCACAGCAAGAAGGCAGGACAAGGTACACAGGGTAATAATCAATGCACTGCATTGAGTTCTATATGCTAAAATAAAGTAACATTCTTGCAGCTAAAATAAAGATACATTTTACAATATAAGTTTCATTTAACATTTAACATATAGAATTGTCTTTTCTTTTTTGTAAGTGGAAAATGTGTAACTGTATCAAGTACCTCTATGAATTAAGTTCCCTTTTATTACTGATAAGACTGAAGTTTAAAGGTCTACATTTTGTTTTAATAAGTTAAAGAAAGATTTATTAATCACTCTTCCAGCAAAACAGACAGACATACGAGGCACGGCAAAGACCGTGAGGCGAGAGCTTTTTCTCACCCGCATCTCTGCTGTTCTCCCTTCGAGGGGCCAGTGTCTATGAGACACAGCAGCCGACCTGGCAGTCCACTGCGGTCCAGGAAATTCTGTCACTTGTTTGGAAAACAGATCAAGTGTAAGAAATGGTTTTATTTCTTTAGCCTTATCAGCTTTAGATGGGGCTGGGGCCATTCAGTTCATTTCCCTGGTGGCTTAAAACAGAACATCTTCGTTTTCTATTAAAATCTGCACAATCAGCTTTTGGTACCGCATGTCATGGAGGGTGGTGAGGGTGCTGTCCTCAGGGGGCCTCATCAGAGTGGGCCCGAACACGATCCCCAGATTTTCAGCATTCATTAAATTGTCCTTTTCATTCAGAGTCACCCTGCAAGACAAACATACACAGAGACCTTACACGGGCTTGCTGGTGGATTGGTGTACTGATTATGTACCCCAAGAACGTCTCCGGTTTGGGAATTTTCCAAAGAAAACTGAGAATTAGTATTACAGAAAAGTATTTTTTAAAAGGTAATTTTCTGATTTTTTTTTTTTATTAGACTGTTGGCATAGCTTTCAGCCAGGGGACGTGAACTGCTAAGTGAATCTGGTATAGGCAGAGTTTTCAAAATTATAAAATCAATCCTTCTCACTAAATAAATGTGGAACTCTCACTCAGGGAACATCATTGGTTTGAAGGGGCAGTAGATTATTAGGTGGTCCAGAGTGCATTCAGATTTTAGTCTAGGCTTGTATGCAAGTTTTTTTTTTTTTTCCTCCCTCCTGTCGCTTTCTGCTGGTCTGTATGCTGACAAGCCGGGAGGCAGAGGGCAGATTCCCTGTCTGCTGGCAGGGCTAGTGCCCGAGGAGAAAGGTCACGTGGAAGATGGGGCTGCTACGAGTTTAGGAATAGCCAAGCCATCATCACGGGACTGGGGAATAGCTGGAATGTGGCCAAAGGGGAAAGCAGTTGACATTACTTCTAGTTCCCACGGGATGAGGTCTGGAGCAGTAATTATTGTTGGAATTCAAAAATCATCATTTCAACATCCAGATAAGAACTGCAAAGCCTTTAAGAATGAACTTCAAAGTTGGCTTAATACCTTTCTAGTAGAATAAAAAGATAATCTCCCAGATTCTTGCTTGAAGGAATTTAGGTTCTAGGATGTTCAAAACAGATCTAAAAGGGAGTACCTTCTCCAAAGAAGAACAAAATAGGACTAACATATGTTTAGGTTTTGCACAGGAGATCATCCCTTCGTGTCTATTCTCTCGAAGCTAATTAAGACTAGCCATTTAGCATTATTGCAGGAAGGTCAGCTCAACTTGCATGATTTTCATGTTGCAAAGCTAAGAGGGAGGTAGAAAGAGGACATTCTTTGCTATCAAACTGGTCACAACCTCTCATTAAGTCAGGCACCACACCTGACCAACTAAGATGGTGAGCAAGCCCTCCATAATAAAAATACTAAGTAATCGGCATTTAAGATTCAACTGGGACATGTTAGCATTTTGCCTGAAAACGTTACTTTGCCTTCCAAAGTATAACAATTGGACACCAAAAGAAATAAAGCTAATTAAAAGCTGGGCTAACATTTAAGTCTATTTTTTAATCCAAAAATTACTGTACTCTGAAATTCAATAAGTTAAAATGGGAACCTTCTGAGCTAAATGTTACATCTCTGATTACCTTGAATAAGCAACAGTATTTATATGTTTTATAAGGTTTCTACCTTATAAAAAAATAAAAACCTCAATGCCTTGGTGTTTCTGCAGTATTCTCAACCTGCTTTCTTTCACTTACTGAATGGATCTGTAAATTGGTCAGTACAGAAAATTTTTGGTTTATTTTATCTAAGAATGGACTGTTGCCATATATCTTCCAAAAACACAGACGAAGGCACACAGAAGTGCC